AGCTGGCCGGCCAGGGAGGGGTCGTCATCTGACTCAGGGAGGTCAAGGCTTGATTTTGGTGAAGTCAATTGGGGTTGGCCATGTGTAAAGGCATTGAATTGAAATGGAATGGGGGAAGAGCTATTTTGGGTCAAGTCATGGTTTGGGGTTGGGTTCACTCACCAAGGAGGGTTTAGGGTTTGGATGCTGAGGGAAATCAGATGATTCACCTTAACCAACATGGTGAGGTCCTTATCCAAGTGATTTTCCATAAGCATGAGATTTGGGTGTTTCATGAAGTGGGTTAAAAATGATCTTAAGGGTATTTTAAAGTGGTTTGTCCCCTTGCCATTAATAGCATGTTGATGTGGCATGGCTCTCATGACTCACCTATGGCTTGGGAGTGGCTTCATGGCTTATCCTTGGCTTGGTCAATTTGCATGAGAAAGGATTTCAAATTTATTTGGTATTTTTGGTGAATTTTGTCATGATTTTTGATTTGGAATGATTTTATTATGGATTTAGAACTTAGGGAATGATTTAGATTAAAGGAATGGTAGGGAGGAAAATCATCATATGGGCTTTTAATTAAAATTGAGCTTTTTGAATGACTTAAGGACTTGGGTTTTTAAAATTGAGATTGAATTTAGGTTAAAATTTGGGCTAATTGAATGTTGAATCTGGTATAGGAAGATGTCATGAAGTGTTTGGAAAGGATTTCAAGTGCCTTGAATTGAATTAGAAGGCCAATTTGGTGGATTTAGACATATGGTCAAAATTGGGGCTTTTTGATTTGGGTGAAATTGAGCTTACAATTGGGTCAAATTGGGCTTAAATTTTGTTTAAATTGGGATTGGGGGTACTAAATTTAGATTTAAAATTGAAATCGGGCAAGATTGGGGTCAATTGGGCCAAGATTGGGGCTTTTAGGGCAATTTAGGGCTTTTGGTCAAATTGGGTCAATGTGATTGTTAAAAATTGAAATTGGGAATATTTGGGATGATTTTGGAATTTTTGGGAATTTTTGGGTTATGAGGGGCATTTTGTTAATTTTTGGCAATTTTGGGGATATATTGGAAATTTGGTGATTTTGGTGAATTTTGGTCAATTTAGGTAGTGGTGATTGATTTAAGATTATTTTTGGACAAATTTGGATAATTTTGGGATTTTTGGCAAAAATTAGGGTTGTAGGGGTATTTTGGTAATTTGGTGATTTTGGGCTAGAACGGACAAGTAAGTCATGAAACCATGCCAAACCAATACAAGCCATATAAGAACTCATTTTGGATGTTCAATATGCTGATCATAACCCTCTTAGCCAAGGATTAGGGGTTTGGGTCCATCCATATGAGCTTTTCAAAAGGAGTCGAGAGACCAAATTAAAGGGGTCCTAGAGTTTGGGGTATGTGAGAAGGTGTGTGCAGGCAAGCCTAACCATAAACCAAACCACCCAGGGTTAGTCTTAAGGCTTGACATGGAGACTCTCTTTGAGCTTCTCTATACTGACCCTACCTACTAAGTAGTAGAGGTCAGGATCAACATGTGAAACTTCAAGTTGAGCACAAAGGAGTTTAGAATTTCTAATGGTGAGGGTTCCTTTTCTAGCCCTCTAGGAATAGTCAACAGGAAAGTTCTATTGCTAGACCCTAGGCTTAAAGAGAAAAAAACTAGACCTCAACCAAAAATGAGGTCAACACACTTTTTACAAAATTAGCACCCAGGTGAGCTTTTTGAAATATTCAACCAATGCATTTATTCATGCCATCACACCATTGGACTTTTGATCAAAAATGAAATATATGATTTGAAATTTTCTTTGAATTTTGATCATTGAGAGAGAATTTGACATATGGTTTAAACTGGGTTCTTGTTTTGTAAATAAAAATGAATTGAATGTTATTTTTGTAATTTTTTGATAAACTAATTGTTTATTTTAATAATTTCATGAAATTTAAATTCTAGGTGGGATTAAAATCTTCAAGTAGTGGTGTCAACTTCATAAATTCTACATATAAAAAATATCGGAATCAGTATCGCTGGTGATTGGCAATTTTTTCATGAGTCGTCTCGAATGATGGATCCTCTGGCCTAATTATCAGTGCGCTAAACTGACCAGTGCTTTCAGACCCATGGAAAAATACCGGCTGATTGTCTCATATGAATGTTGGAAATGCTCCATCGCTCCTCTCATTGATTCATTATGCCATAGAGTGTAAAGTGTTATTACTAACACATCCCTTTTAGTCATTCTGGAGGAACCGTAGAGCCCATGGTTGTTATGATGTTCGTGGAGGAGATCCAAAGAATGGGTATTAAATGTCGAATTTATTATTGAACCTTATAGGTTGTCCTTATAGGATGTCCTTCTAGCATCTCACTGACTCATTTATCACCAATGAAGGATGATGTCATGCATGGAGTTCGATCCACGATAGAGTGCTAGTTTTCGTACAAGATTATCATAATCACTGCAACAATTCTCCTTCGGTGAAGTCACAACCAATCCATTCTGCAAAAGATTTTTCTTAAGAGAAAATATAGAAAACTGAATAGTAACTGCCCCATATCAGAAATAACTATATGGCGACATTTTTTTATTTGCAAAGGAATGAAAAAGGATTTGAATAAAAAATAGCAAAAAAATGAGCCAACAAACAGTGACATCACAAAATCATTTTTCCATAGATGAACATAAGTATTGGACACGAAACTCGGGGCATAGATTCATATCTGCCTGTGGGTTGGGTCCTCAAGTAACTAAAATAAGTTTATATAGAATGTCGTATCAATCTAAACTTCAGCATGCGTATCTAAACCTCCAAGAAAGTGATCTATGGTGGTGTCTGTTGAAGAACCAGACTGAGCTTCCCATACTTCTTTTAGCTTATCTATTGTGCTTTTGATGAAAGCGTCTTTTTCTTTTTCTCTACTTTGGTCGCTTTGACTGACATGTGGACTTAATGTCCCTAAATTTTATGCTCGGTCCTTCACCTGGCCCAGTAACCTCCTCGGTTGCCAAGTCATTTGGTGTGCCTGCAAATCCCTGCTCACTTTAGGTAGAACGAATGCAGGCCCGCCACGACAATCCCTCTAAACATTAGGTTCAACTTATCTCCCGGGTCTAACTCAATGCCACTCACCTTGATTTTTTTATGGATAGGACTGCCTGCAATGTTCGGGGAAGCATATTAGTTAAAATGGAATAACATTCATGACAAAAAAAAATACAAGCATTTATAGGTATATGTATTGCCTGTAACTTCTCATTCCACCATTCATCTGAAACATCAATGATCCATTCGATAGAATCCCAACCTAATTCTGTGAATCCCTATTTAAATTCCTTCCACAACTTCCAATTCTTTTTTAACTGATCTCACTTGTTCTTGAATTTTAGTCTGTCATACTCCCTTCGTGTCAATTCTTTGAACCTTTTCACAATATTATGCCACCCATTCTTGTTAAAGTACGTTGTTGGCATATTTCCAAGGTCAATCTTCTTAATGCATAGTTTGCAAAATATGTATGTGGCTTCCTTATTACACATTGCTAATGAAGCTACTTCTTCGGTATTGGCCATTTTCGAACTAATAAACGAAATAGATCAAGAAAGATACTCATATTGACAACAGAACGAAGAACATGATAAAAAAATGAAGTGCCAAGAGAAACAAACTCCTAAAATTAAAAAAAAAATCAAACTGAAACATTAAAAAAAATTTCAAAGAAACACAAGAAACCACCATCACCAAAAAGTACAGAGAGACCCACACACCTAAGTCAAACCACCATCACCAACACCCAACCATTAGCACCAAAACCCAACAGTAGAGAGAGACACACACAACCAAGTCCAACTACCAGCACCAACACCCAACCACTAGCACCAACACTAATTAGTGGAGAGAGCAACGCTAAACCAAGTCAAACCACTATTATCAACACCCAACCAACATCAACTACACTAATCAGTAGAGAGAGAGAGCCAACCACCAACCACCGACACCAACACTAGTCAGTAGAGAGAGAGACAGACTTACCTAAGTCAAACCATCATCACCAACCCCTAACCATCCGCATCAAACCTTCACTGGCTCACCAACGAACCACACATTCACCAGCACTAAAACCCCACAACACTTGCACCAACCTCAACATCATAATAAGTGTCATAAGTCCAACCACCATAACAAAATAAAGTAGCAATTCAAACAGATCAACAAAAAAACAAATCTTCTTTGGTTGATATGTGAACCACATAGCCAAAAAAGTCACGAAAAATTGGCTGATATGCGAATCAGAGAGCCAAAAAACCACACAATCACTAACTACCCCTCACCTCTTTTGCTTCCTTCACATATAGCAATTGAAATAGATCTGAACTCAATGCTAAATCATTCCAAGATAATTAACCGATCTTGCCATAAGCATCCATCAGAGAACAAAGCATGGTTGCATGGCTTATCGAGGCCAGCAAACACATAAAACATAGGTTATGCCAAACTCATTCAAAATGCCAAAAAATCACAAATCAAGGAATAAGCTGCTCCATACAATCATAACAATGCAGAACAAAGAATGAATAATTGCATAAACACAAGTACAAACCAACAAATTCCAAAAACATAGAGCTAAAAGAACCATTACGAAAGCTATTCCGTCGACGGTTAAACGGATGATATACTTACAGATCTGTTACGAGAGATCGGGGGGAGGAGTAAAGAAGAGGTAACAGAAGCATGATAGGACATATGAGAGGGGATGGAGCTTGAAGAAGCACGACAGGTCAAGGGAGAGGAGAAGCCTGACATGACATATGAGATCTACCCTGCAACACGCGTTTATTCAATAACCGAAAATCGAATAACCTGTAATCATGGATCCGAAGAAGAAGCCCCGACATGGTTGCCAAACAAGACGCGGCGTTTTCAAAATGCCAATGCCCCCAATAAACTAAAAAAATTATTGCATACCACTATATGCAGCACCGTTCATCAAATTTTTTAATTGGGCCATCTTTATTCACCTTTACTGTGAACGATGGAGATTGGTCCGTATGCAATAATTTTTCAATAAACTGCCCGCTGCGTTGCGGCTCAAATTCCCTCTCATTCGTCACTGGTGCGCGCTCATCTTCTGATCCGTGTTTTTGTGAACAACTATGAAGGAGCAAAGTGGTGGGGATTTGTTGGAGCGTCTGGGATCGGATCTCTCCGCCGCTATTCTCCTGTGCTTAGATGATCCCGCCGATCTCGTCCGCTTGGCCTCTCTCTCTAAATCATGGCGCATATTTGGTTTAACCTAAATCCTCTTCTTTTATCTTGTTCATCGATCGTCATTCTTGGATTTCGGTTTTTTTCTTTTTGAAGTTCATCGTCCTTTCAGTGAATTTAGTGTCGGAACACCGCAAATTTAATAATTTAAACGAAGTTTCAATTTGCTTTCATTTTTTATTCCTTTTTAATGCATGACCGGTTCTAAAAGTCCTTTTTTTTTTTTGTAATTGAGTGAGTGGTCTTTTAACCATCCTTTATATTTACTCTTTGATAGCAACTCCGCCCCTAGTATCTTTTTGAAATTTATCTTTACATCACAAATGAAGCGTTATAAATATATGTCACTGTACATCTTATTTGATGGAATGAATTAATGTTTATGTCATTTCTATAGTCTCCCCTTATGAATCTGCCTTTTCCTGTTTCATTGTCTCGCCACGGTATCAGAGCTGATGTGTCAAGAGGCTTAACTATTCCCCTTCATTCATTTTGCTCTTCTTTCTCATTTTCACTTCTTCATGATATCTCTCCACATAATACCTCTCCACACCCCATTCTATATCTTTGCCATTATTAATTACTATGACCAACTGTATCACGTCTACATCAAATGAAGAATGTTCATAATCTCATGGCCAGAAGATCACAAATCATCAAACTATTCCATACAAACAAATTTGAGTGATACTTAGATTGAACTATTCCACCTCAACCCAAACATTTCATAGTACCTATTGACATCATTATCCTTAATCCCAGCTTTAAATCCTAGAGCCGTATAAACCAAAATCTAGTCGCATCACTTCTCTCTACCATCACAACACCTCTTTTTCCTTCTTTATCCTGTACTCATGCACCTAGATCTAGACTACTATTAATCAATGCCTACAATATACCAATCATTTCAAATTCATTCAACTAAAAAATTAATAACGTCTCCAATAAGCATCAATCAATGAAATAATACCTCTATTGCATAAAAGCGACAGTTGATGTTATTGTCTTTGCTTCTTCTCCACTTGACACAAAGCATGTCATATTATACACTAAATGACCGGCCACCATTATATTTGGCATTTAAAACTTTTATATGAATCAATCTACAACCCGTAAGCATTGACGACCTGTATTCCCTCCACTGCAGTGTGGAGACGAACGTAATCACTAAAGTAGCCAAGGAATCTCTACCCTCACAACCAACCGACATTGGAACCTAATCTATTCCTATTCAAGCACTCAATAATAAAAATCTAGTATGGTTCACCCGCAATAGTGAGAATTTCTCATACAAACACTACTCTCCTAAAGGTTGACTCTCACCTCACTTACAAGTAGAATACCAAATTTGTGGTAAATGGGGACACTCAACTATAAGTTGTTGGCATCGCACCAACTTACAATTCAACAAAAATTATCCGCTTTGTTTGTTGTTCTAGCTCTGCAAAATAATGAAATTATTTTTAGACTCTAAAGCCGCATCTCATCTAAATTTGAGCTCCACTTAGCTAAACAATCCCTACCCATATCAAGCCACAAAACAGTTACACTCCAAAATGGAGACACTTTACTGTTTTTTGAAACTAAATGAGACATTTTGCCCACCCCTCACCATAGGATCCTCCTCTCCTATTGACATCATATGCCTCATTTATCTTATAACCTTCTCTCTGTTAATAGGCTAGCATCTAACAACACATGCATGATTTCATTCAACTCTTATGGATATGAAATAAAGGGTTAGAAGACAAATAAACACTCATCAAAGAACCCTGTTGTAATGGATTCTACTTCATCTTGTTTCGATCCTCATTAGCCTTCACTTTATGCAAATCAACACTCCTTGCCAATATTGTTACCATCGATCTTTGACATCGTAGGTTTGGACAGACTTATCCAACCATGTTATCTATTTTGAAAAATCCAATGCAAATATATGTATTTCTTCTTCTTTACCCCACTGTAGTCCTTATGAACTAGCTAAAAGTAATCCCTATATTCATCGCATATTACTACATCTCTTTCTCTCATTCACTCAGATGTATAGGGCCCTTCCCCGGTGATTTCTCCTCATGGATATAAATACTAATATTATCTTTATCAATATTTATTCTCATTACACATGGTTCTACCCAATGAAAACTAAAGATGAAATACTATCTATATTTATTATGTTTAAAACTATGGCAAAGCGTCAAGTCTCAACCCCAATAAAACTCTTCAATTAGATGGTGGTGGTGAATACAACCATAAACAACTCTTATCACTCTTCAATAATTTTTTTTTTATTTTACATGAATGCATCTGCCCTCTTACAGCTGAACAAAATGGTGTTGCTAAAAGTGCATGCTATCATTTAATTAAAACATGTGCTCTCATTATCACTACCAATCTCCCCTCCAAATATGGGTTGATGAACTTCTAATATCCGCTTATCATATTAAACCGCTCCCTTCTCCTATAACAAAAAATATTTCACCATATCAATGCCTATACAAACATTCACCAAGCTAATCACACCTAATGACATTTGGTTGTCAATGCTACCCTTAGCCCAAACCATACTCCTTAAATAAACTTGCTTTGTGCTCATTTCCATGTAATTTTATTGGTTATATCATTAACCTTAAAGGTTATCGCCGCTTCTGTCCAATACTTAATAAAACACTTATCTCTCGTCATGTCACTTTAAATGAAGGATTATTTCACGGCCATTAAACTACAAATTCTTCTCTACAGCAGCCATTACTGCTTGACCTACCTACTATCCTTGTATCCATCACACATCAACTACACTCATAGCCAACACACCTCCAATTATTTTAACTTCTTCCTCAACATTTCAACCACCACTTCAAACTCTCGCAGTCACTAATAACCCACCTCTTCTTCACCCCTTATCTCCGCCTTCATTCAATAACTTCACGAACATTCACACCACACAAATTTCTAAACTCGTCCACATTGGACACCCAAGGCTTACCTGAGCAAAAATAAGTCATCTCAAACCTAAGAATATATTTAACATATCTCATTCATTCTCTTCAACACCTTATCCTACCAATTATAAAATTGTCGTTGAAGATTTTTATTTGGGCAAAACCGAAATGCTAGCAATTTTCATACTTCTCACGATAGCATTTTATCACAACTGGTATGTAATTCAACTTTGCAACTACAATGCATTATTCATGGAGAGCTCCCCAAAGTAGTATATATGCAACAACCACATGGATTTCATGATCTCCACTACTCTATTCATGATTGAAAAAGAACTCTATTGCCTCAACAAGCACCACGACAATGGTTTAACACATTTTCCAAATCTTCAAGCTCACAATTTTATCACCGGTTTTGCTAACCCCTTTCTTATGCTTTATCGCAACAACAAAATCCAAATTTATATCATCATCTATGTGGTAGACATCTTTTTCATCAGCAATTAACCCACAATCATCTCAGAATTATTATAATAACCCATTACATATTCAAGATGCTTAATCTGAGACCAATTTCTTTATATACAAGCCACAACAACTTATGGCCTACTTATCACTTGTGCCAACCTTCAACTTCTAGCTTAATTTGAATCTGACAGGGCAAGAGATACTGCCAACAAGAAGTCTACCATCGGCTAATGTGCTTACCATGATGAATTACCCTTCTCTTGGGCCATCAAGAAATAATCTACAATGTTCGATCCTCAGTCAAGACAGAATATCGAGCCTCTGCCACCTCTGCCACCGATATCATCTAGCCACAGTACTTACTCCGTGAGTTTGTCCCTGGTATCAATGTCGACTACCTTATTTTGTGACAACATATCGGCTATAGCACAAGCTAATAATCTAATAATCCATGCAAGAACTAATCTCATTGAGGTCAACTATCACTGTATTCCTAGTTGTATCAATGCTAAGGAAATCTCAGGAGAACATATTACGCTGCAAATTCAAATTACAAATATTTTCACTGAGAATCTCTCACTATTTAGCAAATTTTAGAAAATTAGACCGATCGACCCAATTGGTTAAAACGCGAATCGGGAGTTGTTCTGGTCTGAAACACATAGAAGAGGTTTGTGTTGTCAAACTGCCAACCAACAAACTAGCAAGCCGATTCCCTCTTTTGAAAATCGTGCTTCTCAACTTGAAGCACGGAGGGAGAGAAGATGGCGAACGCGACGACATCAAAGAGGAGGTGGACGACGTCGGTTAGAATGGCGAGATTGCTTACATCAGAAGCTTTTTCATGGCTGCTAATCTTTCTTTAGCGTCCTTTGTGTTGTTTTTGATGTCGGAGAAATCACAGGCTACACGATTGAAAACCTTGTTTCGACGATGGCTGAGGCTCCCGGAGTCACGTTGACGTTGACTTCGATGACTAGGGAGCTTGGTGTTGCATGCTCTCCATCACGGGCCACTATCTCACTTTGCAACCGTGTCCTAGCTTTCCAATCCTCCCATCCTAACAACAGATGTAACATAAAATTTGAATCAGAAGCAAAACCAACCGTTTGATCCTACTCATAACATTAATTTATAATCACATAAAGCCCCAAAAATCTAGTTGTAAAATGGCTTAATGGCTTAGATTTCTTCTATAATGCAATGATATTTTTCGGAAAAGCTAAACGTAAAATTTCATGACAGTTTGCACTTCTTCATTATTATAAACTAATTATTTTTTATTTTAGTTTCAAAGGATTAGTTTTTTAGAAGAATGAACTTCAACATTTCAATGGATCATCTAATGATGACTTCAAAAATATGTTAGTAGTTTGAAGTTTAAAATTTTAAAATTGAATATAGTATTTGTGATTGTATTTTATTATCTTTTTTATATATTATTATTACATCATTATTGCATCATTTAGATAATATTTAATTAATTTTAATATTTATTACATCATCTGGTTCAACTCCGGTCAGGATAATAAACTTTGAACCTTTCTTTCTTACAGTTTGATATCCGGATCGGTTTTCACAGCCTTCATATTTAGGTATCATCTTCTATGAGACAAGTTGATGCTCCAACCCTCAACTTGAGCGGCATTAATAACGGACAAATTTGCTCATCTACTATTTTGCTGGCATGCCCTTAGCCACTCCCACTGTCACCGTATCACACCCACTCATCTCCAACAATCAGGATAATCTAAACCCTTCATTTATAACTAACACTGCTTATGTAATCGCTATACAAAGAAAACATTATAGAAACTTCTCATTGTATATCAAACTTGATGGAATTAATTAATATTCACCTCATCTCTGTCGTTTCCCCTTTACAGCTGCCTTTTCCTGTTTAATTGCTTTGTCAGATCTAAACATTCATACTTGATAGATTCAAGGAAGAACAGAAAAGGTCAATCAATTTAATGGTCAATTAAACCATCATTAAATTAAATTATCATAAAAAATTGTTTCTGCATCACAATCAGCATTCTTTTGAGTTATTCGATATGTTGAGTGTAATAATACGTGTCTTCTTCTCCTCTCCTCTTTATCTCACTTTCCATTTCTTTTCTTACTTCTCTGCTGACTTCTAAATCAATTCTAGTTGCATATTTCGATGATTGTAGATAATTAAAAAAATTACAACATTACTATTGAAAAAAGCTGTCAAAATGAATTGGATGTTGGTGGCTTTGATAGGTTTATGACCGCACACACTGCCAAATACACGCAATTGTTCTTTCTACACCACCATAGTAATAGAATACAGGAGACCTTTATTTATAGATTTACCAAACTTGCAGAACAACTGAAGCAACTTGTTAAAATAAAGAGAAAAAGAAGATAATTCTAACTTCTAAATCCTACATGAAATATACCATTATCTAAGAAGAATAAAAAAGTGGGTATGAAGGAATTGTTAGGTTGTCTCCATTTGTTGGTGGAGATAATTAAATAATGATTTCGGACTGCATAGAAGTTATGTTAAGAATGACCCGGATATATCAAAGTTGAAGTTGCATGCTAAACCTCTATTCAAAACCCTCATTTACTGCAGCCTGGAACTGTAAGACACTAGTTAGTACTTTGAAGGAGAAGATCAAAATAAACTTACATTTGTTTTGCAGTGATTTCAAATGGCTTTTGCAAAAGGCTATGCTTAAGAACGAATCCAGAGATATCATGTTTTGTACGTGCTATTGAAGTAGGAGGTTTGTCAACTACTGCTGTGAAAAAAGTTGGTTCTAATTGCTCTGGTCAGTGGCATACTATGGAAAGCGAGCACAGAATTTTTGCTTATTTTGGTTACCGCAGTGTTTCATCCAGGTTTTTTACAGAAACTGGCGTGGAATCAATTTCTGCTTCCAACACTAATGCTATGTTGCCAGGTTATTTAGGTCCAAACATGTTCTCTTCTTTCTGGTCCAACAAGAGGAAGTCTACACTAACTTTCAGGTTAAGTTGCAAGCTTTGTGTTATTCATGAGATAAAAATACAACTACCGCAAGGTGAGTTTCATGCATTATGTTTATTTACATCTCTTAGTATGTTTTGCTTTCTTGCATTTGATTGTATTTTATTTATCAGCAGAGTTCTATTGCCGTGCATCCAAATGTCGCTTTAGACTCGGACATATGAGGAATGAGAATGCAACCCCTGAAGAATTGTTGGCAGAGGACTTCATTTGGACTTACGTTTCTCCAGAATTTTCAATGGTAGAGGTAAATATAATTACATTAAACCACTTTATTTTAATGCAATCCTTAGGGCTGTCATGTTTGTTCTTACATTTTGTGAGAAGCTACTATCGAAGGATTCAAAAAGCAATTACCTGGTTTATTAAATGGCTTCTATTTTAGCCTTCTAGTAGTTATTATTTTTTTGGACTTTTTAATTTAGAGAGGGTTTACTAATCTCGTGGATGAATTGGATGGAGATACCCTGCCTTTTATGTGTAACAATTAGAGGTGCTATTATGGAGTTCTAACAATCATTAGGGGTCTTCACTTTATTCTTCACAGTCTTATACACCATTTGCCTTACTGACTTTTTCGGGCTGGCTTTTTGAATTGTTCTTGATAAATTCTAAAACTTAACAAAGTTAAGATTTTTCTAAGATTATAGCAAAATAAAAAAGAAAAATTTACATACATAGCACACAATTCTTATCTATTTGCATTTCTAACATCTAGACATTGATATTTACATTTGTAACTCTATGGTGGTATAAAATTATGCACAAAAATATGATTTTCACTTTTAAAAAGTTAATTATTGTTGCAAATAGGTGTGGGGAGGAATAATTACTTAACTTCGTTATTCACGTGGAAGGTGCATATATATATATATAGGGAAACCAATCTCTTCTAATTTACAAACACTTCAAATATATCTAATCTAAATTTTGAAAGGAAGTAATTGTGAAATAAAAAAAAATAAGAACATAAATTAGAGGAGAATAAAACTAATAAAGGAGTTTCCAAAGTTTTCTATCAATTCAATCTCCCATGATTGGTAGGGGCCCACCCAGGGAAGCAGTCAGTTACTTCCTAATTTTCCTCACTTCCCTTTAAGCTAGGTCTTAGATATTGTAGAGATCGAGCTTGGTATTTAAATCTGAGAAGGAACTCAAAGGAAGAGCTTTGGTGAAGACATCAACAACTTGTTAGCGTGTCGGTATATAGCTTAGCTGTATAATTCGATCATTAATTTTTTTTATAAACGAAGTTTCTATCAACTTCAATATGTTTCCTGTCATGATACACAAGATTCTTGACAAAATTGATAGTTGCTTTATTGTCACAAAACGTATGTATAGGCCTATTGGAGGTAAACCCTAATTCCCTAATAATCTTTGATTTCAAATCCTTTCATAGATTCCTAAGGCGAGTGCCCTATACTCTGATTCCGCACTGCTTCTAGAAACAAAAACTTGGTTTTTTAATTCTCTATGTAAGGAGATTTTCCCATTTATAGTAGTAACCTGTGGTGGACCTTTTGACAATGATTTTCCTAACCCAATTTGCATCTTTGTAGACTTCTACCTTTCTGTTTCTGATTTTCTCAAAAATTAATCTATAGCTAGGAGACTCCTTGAGAAATTTTAAAATCCTGTGCATCATCTCCAAATGTGCTTCATTGGGCTATTAATGTGTTGGCTCACAATATTGACATAATATGCAATATCGGATCTACTATGTGACAGATAGCTAAATTTTCCTATCAATCTTTGATATCTTCTTTATCTATAGATATGCTTTCTTCTCCTTGATTAGGCTATTAATGTGTTAGGCTAGGTTCCATTAGATTTTAACAAGTTCACATTCAATCATCCATGTTTCCTTTAATAAATCTAGGATGTATTTCCTCTGTGATTTAAGAATGTCTTTCTTGGACTTTGCGACAACTATACCTAGAAAATATCTCATATTTTCTTGTTCCTTGCTTTCAAACTCGGTGGCAATAAAACACTCAAATATTTCCCTTAACTCGAGCGTTACAACTGAGGAGGTAAGGGGTTACAAGTGAGGAGGCATGGGATGTGATACTTCATCGTTATAAGGAAAAAAAAAAATGAAAATGATGTTTCTAAACAAAACAACTGATAACCCAAGAAGAGACCAGAGTGGTGTGTGAGGAGACAAGCATGAAATAGATAACGCCTTCGAACAAGATTGAAGGTAACGACGTTGAAGAACCATTCACACATATGATTTGTGCGGCGAGGAAGACTTACTAGAGAGTGATCAGTTGAATCGCTAGCAGAAACAACGACACAAAGCTTGGGGCGTGATCCATTGTGTGCCCTAGATTGTGGTTTGGTGCAGTTTTTGAATTCAAGGAAGGAGAACATCAAGGCAGAAGATTGATGATCACAGGCTCGGGCTTTCCCACATATATTATATCAAGGGACAAGGGTGATGAAGATTGCAATTTAAGCTGGAGGAAGACAATGGCGTAAGCGAGGGAAACATCTCACGCGAAGAAGAAGGAAGATGACAATGCCCGCAGTGAGACATGATACTTAATTTCATTGAGTGTGAAGCAAGAGGAGGAGCATCGAGCAGAAGAAGTGGAAGAAGGAAGGAACTTGTCGAACGACTCTGCGTGCAAGCGAGAAGCCAAACCATGCAAAGGGCTGAAAGAATGTCGGATCCTTTGAGGAGGTATAGTTTACGGGTTTTATGTCTGAAATATAAAAATTATTATTTTATTTTAGCAATTGTTTTTTAAATTATATCAATTAAAAATTTTGACTATAATTAGACAAACAATCAATGTAAAGACTAGAAGTGATCAAGATAGACAGTTGTGCATCAAAGGAGGAGATTAAGTGAGGTAATTTTAAGGTAAATTGAATTATATTAACTACATTGGAAGTAATATATATGCACACACATGTATAATATTAAATAAAGATAACTATAAAATAAATAGAATCTATGATGTTATGATTTAAATGGATTAGTGTATATCAAATCAAAAAAATTGGGAGTTGATATTTGCGTAAAATAACCACTTAAGCATTTATTAAATATTATAAATATTTTTATAGGTATTAAATTAAAAAATGCAAAGTTGAAGAAAAGATTGAAAATCTAAAAATAAGCATACGACAGTGGGATGAGTATTCATGTTTTTATGTTATAGTAATATTTTTGTTTTTCATAAACCAATTGCATTTATTGTTAATGTCACTAGTTATATTGAAATCACTACAAACTCATGATTTATGATTCTTTAAAATTTTTGTTTGTATTATAGGAATGATATGTGTACTCAATATTGTTTAAATTATCTTAGATATTATATGTTATACAAACTATACCAATGAGAATAAAATATTCATTATTAAATAATGATTTTCATAATATGCTTGCATGTGTATGCTTGACTATAATGAAGTTCACATCTATATCGTACTAGTGGGGAAACATTAAGGTATCATTGCATGTAAATGAAAAAAGTTATTAATATTTATGTATATTAATTGACATAATTTTAGACGATGTTCTTGTGACGGTTGTACATATATAAAATGATATAAATATGTTACTAATATGGTAAAACACGTTGAATATTATGAATTATCGTGACAAAACATATCTGAAAAAGTAATTTGTCTACTATTTTTATATTGGTTTATAATATATTTGTCTAGCATGCATATCATTCTCTTTTTGTCACGTTACTGTAGTTTAAAAATATGAGTATTAACTGGCTTTAGTTAGTTTGTTGTTATTTTAAATTAATACATGTTTAATTAATTAATTAAAAGATGAGTGACAGAAGAGAAAATATTTATGAAAGATGCAAACAACTTGATCTAAGATAAATTTATAACTGTTTTAATTTAATCTTTTTTCTATAATTATTCTTTCAATTGTTAAATATTAGCTATAGAAAATGAATATTGAAAAATAAATTCCATCGTTCGACCGTGTGTACTTCCCTTGGTTAATTTCATAACCCGGGAAAGTGGTAATAAAGACAAGGTTAAAGTTTAAATAATACAATATTAATGAAAGAGCCAATATGATAATCACAAGGAATTTTTTAATAATAATATAATTAAAAATTTAAGCTAAATCTAATTAACTGATTATATACATTCAGGTGATGAGACATACTTGAGATTATAGAAGAGGAAAGTCCGATAGAAAATGATAAAATACTGCCTACTATAAATGTGAACACGAATGCACTGACCTAGATAATGATGACGATGACAATTTATTTAGGCATCCGGGTCACATCTTGGTAGGAGTGAATAAATTGTTGTGGATAAGTACTTAAAATAATTTGAAGAGCTGTGTCCACCTTTGTTTAAGGGAATTGAAGATCCGATTGAAACAAAGAACTAATTGATGCATATAGAGAAAATTTTGGAAAGCTTAGCTTGTCCGAGTGAAAGAAGTAACTTTAGCTACATTTGTGCTATATGGAGAAGCAGAAAGGTGGTGGCGTGGGCAGCATCAAGATAGGTTAGGGGACATACCCAACATGATGGTAAGTTAGAAGGATGTAGAGCTTTTCAGAGATTATATGCTCGAAGACAGATGCAAGACAAGTTTTGGTCGATGCAAAGGATAGAAGACAACTATGAAGTATGAAGCATAGTTCACTGTATTATTGAGGTATGCACCGTAGCTACTTGTTGCTGCGGAGAAGTGTTATAAGTTTCTTTCTAGATTGAAGGATTCTATCATTCTGTCATTTGTGTGAATTGATGATTATTCAGTGTTGATAGAACGGGCATGACAGATAGAGATTGACTATCATCTTACTCAAAAACATAAAGATATGCACAAGAGGAAGAATATTGATGAAGGAGAACACGTGAATTAATCAGAGGGGTCCAATGGAAAGAAGCCCAAGTTCGGTTGAGGTGGATTTAGTAGAGGTACGGCTCACAGTACTGTAGTCACTTTGGTCAAAGTTGATTATTATTATGAAATAATATTTGATTGGGTCAAAGTAGGTTATTTGAATTTATGTTTAGAAGTGGAAAAAAAATCCCTTAAAATTTAGAGTTTGGGAGGCTCCGGTACGGAATGACACCGATTTAAAGTTCCTAGATGGTGTGGGAGAATCAAGGGAAGGAGTTAGGATGGTTGTAAAATGAGAAACAAAGGGGAAATAATAAAATAAATCATTTAAGAGGCAAAATAAATTATTTAAGCGCTGAGATGAGTAATTATTTTTCTACTTGTATCAACTT